TAAAGTTGCCCTGACAGATGAGACACAGCTCATACAAACAAACAAACAAAAGGGTTAATTGAGTTTCATTCACATAACTTGACACAACTGTCCTAATTTCAAAATGTCAGTGTTTTTATCCGGTCACATGTCTTCATTTGTACAGTTGAGTGATGTCAGGGACTCGCTTAGCTTCCCTCTCTTGGAGGACAAACAGCGCGATATTATGTCGGACTCCTTGACAGTAGAGCCAGAAAGACCAAAGCAAGACGATCTGTATTCTTTGACATTTGACAACTCATTGTTGCTTTTTCTCTTTTTGCATAATTAGCTTGTCTGTTCCTTTTACAAGCTGAAAGAGACTTTTTGGTCTTTCTCACTTCTAATTTGTCCTTTGTTTTCTCTGTCATCTTGACTCGACAAGGAAAACAAATGTAATTTCCCTCATGAAGAGGAAATGAAAGCTTGAAAGACATTAGCAATTAGCGTGGCACGCCAGGCTGCGGGTGTGGGTGGAGACTGTGTGTGTGGGTGACATATGGATAAAAAGCAAAGAAATGGAGACTTGGGCACTCAAGGACATGTAGCCAATGACTTTTCAAGGCCCCCTTTGGGGGTTTTCTGCCTCCCTCAATTTCCGTTGGCCCTTTTTGTGTTGTTTTGGAAGATAACCCCGGCTTTCTGTCTGAGTGTCCAATGTTCAGCCATCGGTGCCATTACTCGCTGACCACCCGCTGAAATGGAAAGCAGGGTTGACCTGTAGCGTCGTGTGTGTGGATGCTCACATGAGGCCACCTGCTGAAATGAAAGCACTGGCTACCTGTGAGTGAAGGGAGAGGCGTGTGTGTGTGTGTGTGTGTGTGTGTGTGTGTGTTGTATGAATTCATGTGTTTCACAAGGACCAGTCAGAAATTTCAACAAAAGAATATGGGAGTACTTCGGTAGGTTATATAATTCAGGAGTCCTCACAAGTATTTCAATACAAGGCTGTGTGTGTGTGCGCACTTCTGTCTTTTTGGAACAAAATTAATTCTACATGTGTCTCAGCTGATTCATTTATATGTATGAAGTAGAGATCAGACAATGTGTTAGATTTCCATGTGAGAGCACAGATATTAGATGAAGTGGATTTAAAAGGCGCGGATGATTTGAGCAGTGGGCTTAATTTGAATCATCGGACAAAGTAACCTTGATCACCGAGCAGAAAGATAACTTGACTGGAAGCATCGTCAGGACCTTGCTTGACCAGAGAGAAAGTGTGTGTGTGTGTGCGTGTGCGTGTGCGTGTGTGTGTGTGCGTGTGTGTGTGTGTGTGTGTGTGTGTGTGGGGGGTGATGTGTCATCCACAGGTTATAGACCGAATAGCTTTTCTGCTGTCCACTATGCAAGGCATGGTGTAGACAAGTAATAATTGAGCTTGAAGGTGTGTGTGGGTGTGCACAGAAACCTTTATTCATTTTCATATTCAATGTCAACGCAGTCAACCACTTCCAATTTGCTCGCATTTTCTGACACGTCTTTTTCCGCTTCCTTTCTTTGAGGCTCTCACTCTTATTAATCCTTGCTCTCCACTCTCATCCTGGGGTTGTATTGGCAGTATAGATCTATACAGGGGGAAGTTAACGGAGTAAACACAGGTAGTGTTGAGCAAGGAAGACGATCGATTCCTTTGTATTGATTCAGCAGTAAGTGCGGCCACAAGTCATTTCCAGGATGTGTTTGTGTGTGTGTGTGTGTGTGTGTGTTTGTTTGTGTTGGAAAATAAATGCTTTTGGAAGTGTTTTATCCCTAAAATGTGTTGTTGTACTGGTGAATGGCACTAGGCCAGATTCATTTCAGTCTCAATGAACCAATACGATCAACCAAAAGGAGAAGTGGTTATTTGTGTCGTTTCTTTAAGTTATTTATTCTGTGCTTCTGTTTCTGTCTCTCTAATTTACATCCCATACTAGTGGCTGGATCAAACACACAGATATATGCACATACAGAAGTGTGTGGAGTTTATTGATAAGCTGAGGCTTTCCACATGGCGGACAGATGGCTCTTCTAATCTTCCAGACAGACACTGCCTTTTGATATCTGATCTGATGATTACTCTGGTGTGTGTGTGTGTGTGCGTGTGCGTGTGCGTGCGTGCGTGCGCGCGTTAAGCCTTTTGTGTTAAATTTATTTTACAGTTGTGGTTTGAATTCGTCCACTTTCGTCATCCTGAGACTGTGGTTGATAGTTGATCGACAGTTGACCAGGACTGTTTTTAGGTCACATATCAGTCATGCTTCAGTATCCTGACTTTATAACGTAACATTGTGTGGAGATAGAAATGACACGGGCAGATTCCTTGCTGTGGCATTCTGCTCTCTGTATGTCCATAAGACATCTACACAGGGGACGAGGCGTTTGTCTTCACTGGTTTAAATTTCTCAAATTTTGGACGTTTGAGCATTGCCAAGACTAAAAAATCTCGACCAACAAGTCGTAGTGTTTCTGATATAATCACCTTTTTTTGGTGCATTGTCTGTTTTTTCCTCAGCAAATGTTCCCTTAGAAATCTACCTCTGAATCTACCTCTGGTGCAGTCCCTGTCTCTGAGGTGTCCTTACAGTAAACGGCACCACAGCTATCGCTGCCTTCACTTTGCAACAGCGTTATTATGCAGCACATGCAGGGAGCGGTGAATAACTGTAGCTTCCAGCATCAATTTTAGCTTAAATCAGAAAATGAGTGAAGCAGATCAGAAAACAACGGGGCTCCTGCTGTGACGATGCTGTTTAGTGACCTAGTGCTGCAAAAATATTGATGAATAAGTCAATATTGTGCAAAGAAAGTTTGTCATGTTGCTAAAACATTCAGCTGTGGTGCAGTGTTGAAGTAACACTTTATTCAATTTACCAGCCTCTTGAACTGCTGAAAGCAACATCGCCCTGACTATTAGGAGGGGGGGGGGGTCTCTAGGCTATGATTATCCATTCCTATTGATGCATCGACATTTTTCAATACACGATTTATTTTCTCACTGTGACTCTAAAACACTGCATATTTGCAATGATTTATAATCAAAAAACTCAAATAGAAGAGATGTGTCAACTGGTGGGTCACATTTCACATTTCCAAGCACTGCAAAAATAAATATATAATTGGGCCTGTAGCAGCACCCTCGTAGTAAAAACACAGAATTCAGCACGTTCTGAGTCATTTGACATAAAAAGCTGCACTCATTCACAAATAAACAATACAGACTTCTGTTGTAGGCAATGAGAATTCAGCTATTCGGGAACATGTGGTAAAACCTTACAGCGATAAAGTGCGCGGGTACGGGGAGACTTTATTCTGTTGTCACGCATAGCGTGTTACTACCATCTGCTGGTCTTTATCCTCGTTTAGAATGTAAACGTCTGTTGCGTTCAGGGGCAGCGGTGAAGGAGTCACAGAATTACAACGTTGGCGATTGAGTTTATTGAGTTTTCTGCATCAAGTCATAATCGTTGGAGAGAGAATCGCGATGCATCTAAGAATCCATTTCCCCCCCTCCCCTACTGGCTATGTTCAAAACTCCACACATTGCCAGAGTCTCATGGCGTAAAGTGGATTGATACGTTGGTGTCCGACTTCCGGTCTCTGTGTCTGCCAGCAGCAGGAGTGTCTCGGCTTGATTTACCGTCTCTGACCTGATATCTGATTGAAGACACGTGGGTGTGTGTGTAGTAGGTGGATTAGCATATAAAAAGACAGTAGCGGGACATCAGATAATTCTGATGCCATCTGTTTTCAATGGAATCTGTTAGAAGGAAGAGGGAGTGTGTGTGTTCTTCAGCGTGTGTGTGTGTGTGTGTGTGTGTGTGTGTGTGTGTGTGTGTGTGTGTGTGTGTTTGTGTGTGTGTAACCCCCCACACCCCTGCTCTCTGTCTTTTTCCTCACCACTCTTTAGGTCTGTTATTTTTATGTGTGCTGCAGATCTTCCTTCCTTTTTTGTCCTATTATTTCTAGTTTTTTTTTTTCTTTTATTTTGGTCCCGGGGAAAAGCGGAGCCATGATTAACTCTGTCTATGAACAAATACATCAATTATTTAGGATGGAAAACACTATAAATTGTTCCATTTTTGTAATGATTTATTAATTAGGAGGCAAATTCTCTGGGATTTGCCTTCATGTCCGCCCCACCTAGCTAATGTATTCATGCCCAGATGCATGGAGACATGCAAGCACGTATGTGTGCACAAACACAATGCCATAGGCAGCTTCCTGATATTAAAACACTACCAACGGTTGCATAGGATGATCCATTGAGATTCCTGTTGTAACTTATCATCAATCGATTTAAATTTTATTGTTCTACTAAAATGCTGGCTTGGAAATAGCGTGATTGAAATATGCAGTTTTAAAGAAGCGTATTGCACTCGACTGAGAGTGAGAGAAAAGGGAAAAGGTATGGATAACGTCATATAACAAACCAGATGTTGTCGTTGAATTAATCTCGGGTATGTGTTTTTCTCTTTTAATGCGTTCTTCAGTTATGTTTATTTACAGGACTATCTCATTTTTTATAGGACCCCTGCACATTTGGTATCCATCTCTGTGTCTGAATATATCCTTTTCTTTACAGGTTTAGCATTCAGAGTTCTCACAATCACATAAGTGGACATTCAAAATGCAGAAGCTCAAAAACAGACCACCCTCATTGGTTGATGTGTATGTAAATGCCTTCAAAGGTTGTAAGATATGCTCGCAAATTATACTAGTTTCCATGTGTGTAAAATATTTTTACTTTGAGCAGAACGGCGTCTCTAATCACCAGTCCACCTGCCAACAGCCACATTCCTTTCAGTGCTCACTGCTAAGCTCATCAGCAGCAAGGTTGTGTGTGAATGTGTGTTGCATGGTGGAGGCTGTGATTAAGAGCTTTGCCGTGTTCATTTCCAATGTGGTGGCATTGCAGGTAGAGAGATCGGGTGATGCGTTCAGGGCAACGCTGGGTTTCAATTAAGAGCATTATAGTGATTATTTCTAATATGGTGGAACAGCAGGTGTGTGTGTGTGTGTGTGTGTGTGTGTGTGTGTGTGTGTGTGTGTGCGCCAGGGACGCATGTAATTTGAGGAGACATTGCCAATTGAACAAGGTGGTCTACTAAGCTGATCATGTGTTGGGCGTGCACAATATGTTTCCTCCAGATTAATTTGCTACATCTAGCCTTTCCCCTCTGTTTTTCATGAACAAGCTAGATCTGCACACTTTGTGTGTGCGTGTTTATCTACCTTTCCTCCTCTTTCCAATAAGTTTTTTCTACATTTTCTCTAAATACTTTTAAGTATTGTCTCCCTCTCTTGTCTCTCATGGTGAATCTTTCTGATTTCTTTCCACCTGGTTTTTACTTCGGTCCGTCTCAAAGTTGTCAGCTCTTCTTCTTCTTTCTCTTTGGTATCTTCTTCTTCATCCTTGTCTTTTTTGACTCATGGTCAAACTTTCTCTCTTTTTATTTGACTTTCCTCCTCCCCGCCATCAGATTGTGTCTCTCACACTCACAGTGTTTGTCTTTCTTCCTCTTCCTTCATCTCCACACTGATCCTCTAATCAGCAGCCAACAGTGTCTCGGGTTTACTTTTGAAATGACATGCCATCCCTCCCATTCTCCTCGTCGTGCCCTCTTGTCTGATCTACGGTAATGTCTTGTACATCTTTTCTCCCGTCTTACTTTCCTCTCTTCTAGCGTCTCTACCTTCTCTTCTGTGTGTGATAGTTGTCTAGGGATGGCAACACGAGCTGTCTCCAAACCCGCAACATCATAACGACATGTTATGTGTCGCTGCTGAACCCCCCCCCTCCTCAGGTTCAGAAAAATAAAAGCTCTCTGCGTCTGGGCTATTTGCATACTATTTGCATATGAACCCCCAACTGGCTGTTTTTGGAATGCCAAGAGGCTAAATTCAGTATTTATTACCCGGGCCCATAACTAGTTCTCTCTTTTCTGTGGCATTTGCATCTGATTTGCATGTCCCACAGCTTGGATCTGGGAATAAGGGGCCAGATGACCTAAATAGTTTCAATTCCACCTAGAAATAAAAAAAGCAGAGAGGGGACTAATTATTACCATTAATCGAATTAGGACGCTTTACATGTGGAGCGTAAATATGCGAAAGTGTTATGAGCTACAATACCAAGCTGAGGCCACTTGCTCTCACTGCAAACTGCTTTTGCATGGAGACAATAAATGATGTTTGTGTTTGTGGTCACGTTTCTTTGAGCAGTTGGCTAGATTTCCCTCATTGCATCATCCCTTCCTATCCCAATGGTATTGATCAAAAGGCCCCTTTTTGTTTTGTAGGTTCTCTATTTTCAAGGCAAACAACTGTTCTATATTGAGGTCCTCAAAGAGATCCATTTAAACTTCACAGACCTATTTAATCATAGAAGCTAATCAGCGTTACATTTGGCTATCAGCGGTTCATAAGGAATTGGATAGACTGAATGTGGATAACAGACCTTTTGCACACTACACCGATCTTATCAGCACATGCAGTACATGTGAGAGTTACATACTCATCATCCTGTCAGACACAGAGGTTGGTGCTCACCACTGGGCTTTGTTTCCTCCAGTTGATAAATAAACTGCCCACAGTGAAGGGGACATGAATGAAGCTTAAACCCCTTTCAGAGAAGCCCCCCTTTACATTGATCCGACTGCAGTTTAACACACCGGTCTCATGCCTGTGTAAGCAGCCCGGTCACATTAACGTAAAAGACACAACGGCAATCTTACTTGGTCGAACCTAGTAATGTTTCCGCATCGCTTTCAATGCGGCACCAGTCTGAATGCAGCTTGAGTGCTGTAAAGGCTGCAGCGGCACAAAGTCAAACATTCAAAGAGAGAGGTTACATGTGTTATGTCAATCCTTGTCTCTTATGCAGACAGTCAGTTAGATAAACCAGGAAATTGATCTTCACATATCAGATCTGTCTACAAAAAAATATTTCTGCGACCAGAGCATAGGAGACTTAAAAAAAGTCCCCTCTTACAATAATAGTCTGGAAATACAAAGAAAGACTGTTGCTCAATGTTCATTCCTGCCAATTGTGTGGATGAATAAGTGCATATCCAGCAAAAACAGTATAATCTATAGGTTTTTGGATCATTTTGATTAAATTGTCTGTTTTTAGAGGGACACATATATGTGATAGTTTCAGTTGCTGACCAAGGACTGATTTCTACATTTTGCATGGCAAGCATCATATTTGACCATGATCATGATCATTTGATTGCATACGTTAATATGTGAATATGCTCTGAAATTTTAGGAGAGGCCCTCAAAAACCTTACAGCCCTGAGACCAACTGTCTTTGTCAAGTGTTTGTATTAATCCCTTCATAGTGTAGCTCTGAACTGAGACCTAAACTGTAGGCCATGTGTGGGACTAACTAGCCGATTTTCTTGTGTTATCCTATTATATCTGTGAAACGTGAGAACCTTTTGTAAAGGCTAGTTCAGTGAGTAGCATAGCCAAAAACAACAACAACCGATAGTGCTGCACTGGTATTGTCTCTTTAATGACTACAGACCACGGCTCTGCTTGGCTACCACCTCCACCTTTATGAAGGTGAAGCTCCATCTGCCATCACTTTCCTTCCATTTGTTATTTTCTTTCCCAGGACAGGTGAGCTTTTACATACAGGTGGCTCTTTACCTTTCTGTTTCACTTTTCTTTGTCTCTCTTCGAGGTGACAGGTGGGGGAAATGTACACACACACACACACACACACACTCACACACGCTCTTCTGGATTCCTCTGTCTTCTACATTCTTTTGTGTACACAGCAAATTGACGCATGTTCTTCCCTTGGCCTGCTCTATTCACCTCATTGAATATAAACTGCCATCTCCTCGGGCAAACAGCAAATATAATCACATTTGTAATGTCAGAGAAATAGTGTGTCAATATTTGCCTGGTCTGTTACTGTTGTGAAATGGGGAACTGACTGTGGTTACCATGGTGTGCATGAGTTTGACAGTTGGCTTTGAGGTACAGAAAGATGCACTCTGTCTCTCACACACACACACACACACACACACACACACACACACACACACGCACACCAACACACACACCTTTCCAGGGTGAGAAAGAGGTTTCTTTCATTTTATTATTTCCATTATGATAGGTTACAAAAGAAGACCAATTTTCACTCCGCCCCTGTGGTCCAAGAGTCCACATTATTTTATTTTTTTAACATGCAAAAATGTCACCGTGAAAACACGTTTTACGTAATTGAGTTTTTTTTGTTTGAGTAGGTTATAAAGCATTTTCTCTTCTTTAAAAGTTGACATGTGAAACTACAAAAACAATCCTGCTAATACTTCATGCAGTTGCACAATTAATAAATACAGCAAACACTACGAGCATGTTTTGTCTTTAAAAAATGTCTGAAAGCTTGTTAAACACCGGAATATCGGAATATCGTGGGAAACACCGAAAGTTTCAAACCAGTTACTGTTAAGTGTGGAATATTTATATAAAAATTACATTTAGAGAAAGATACGTGATTGTACTGAATTATAAATCAATCTATTAGTAGACGGTTACAATTTATAATGCCGTAGCAAATAAAAATGTCAGTTTTGACGCCAGTCGGACACAAAACTGACGTGATTGTCATCATCAAAACTTACACCGTTTCTGAAGAGAAGCATCGGGTGCATTTGATTATTTTCTTTGTATTTATCATCTTCTGATGCCATGTTTTCATCTGAGCTCCACTTACATTGTTCTAGACAGCCATCGTCTGCTTGCCCCCTGCCACAGAATAAATATTCTGCTTTTGGTGCAGAGGAGCTAAACTGAATGATGTATTCAAAGTGGGTCTGTGACTGTGGCTGTCGCTTTTAGTTTGTCAGTTCTGACTTTCCTCTATCTCCAACCAGACTAAATACTAACTTCATATGTGGACGGTCAAATCATGTTTAATAATGAGAAGGCAATTACACTGGCCTCCATCCAGAAGGTGAAAGAGTCTGCCGTCTTTCACTGCGAGGTGTGTGGTAAAAGTGAAATCATCGGTATATTACTCTGTCAGTCAGTAACCTTCGAGGCCCTTCTTTCTCCCAGACACACTGACTTTTGTGCCCTTGACTCTAATAATCCCTCTCTGGCTGTGTGAAATATCTTTTCATGCCTGCACTGATGATCATAATGGTTTTCTGTCTGAGCTGCAGACTAGTGATTGGCCCCAATTACTGCGTGAACCTGAGGCTTCAAATCATCCTATCTATGCAAGGTGAGCAGCGTAATGGCAAAAATCTATTTAGGCCCCCTTTCCATCCCCTGCCTGTATGCACATCGATAAATCACACTTAATGCACATTTAAAATCACAGGGAATCCACTGCCAGATGTTTATCATTACTTTCCTCTGTTGAAATGTTTTTTCCCATATACAACCCGTACATGCCCTACAAAGCCCTCCCATCGTCTTTAGCTTCAGCGGTTGCTTTGAAACTCGATAGCTCGAAGTGTATTTATTTATCCACTCTGACACCTCGCACATTTCCAACCCTTTTAATTACAGAAGTGGCTCTGTTCTCTGGTTTGAACGCTATGCTGACAATTTCTAGTAGATTAGACACTGGTCCAATGGAAAAATGTGCCTTTATGTTGCTCAGTCTGTACATGTATGCAATAAGCTGTTTGTATTACCAGTTCAGTAGTTTTACTTCACTACTTTTAGTCTCAGAGAGGGGGCCCTTGTCTGGACCCAGGTGCTCCTACAGTGTGTCTGTGATCAGATGTAAGAGAGACAGATAGACTCCAGCATCTCGCCCTGTAGAAGCAGACCTCTGCCATCCAAATTAGCGGCTGGCTTGTCTCGCAGCATTCATCATTCCTGCTCCAGTTTCAGCTGAGCTCGCCTATTTGTCACCGAGATACCACCACTTACTCTTCTAATATTAGGTCTCTCTGCTTTGCGCACCCTTATTGTTTTGTTCTTTTTCGGTCCGTTCTGCATGTTTATCATTTTCTCCCATGCTCCTCCTTTCCTTTTGTTTCCTCAAACTCAGCCTATGCCTCCAAATGTGTACCTCCTTTTCTTCATCTCTTCTGTCTTGTGAGTCTTTTGAGTCTTTTTTTGCATCTCTACTACTACATGTTTGTTTATACACCGTTCACACAGTCATTATATTACTTGTCCACCGTTGTTTGTATAGAAATAATACATTTTAATTCATAGTTATGTATCAAATTAATAAAAATGTGATTTTAATTGTATTTACAGTATTAACATATCATCCAACGTTAAAGATCAAAGTAGGAGCTCTACCGATACAGAGCTTTGTCACAAGTTTATTAACCGGTGGCACCCCTACCCGCTACTGTTCCAACTCCATCTTTCTTAACTTCTTTTTCTTGATCCCCTCCCTCCCTCTCAGCCCTCCATCCATCTCCTTTTTGTCTCTCTCTCTCTGTCGTGCAGACTCTTCCTCAATAATGGCCTCAGAGTTGTTTAGGACAGGAGTGAAATCCCAACAGAATAGATGTTTCTAAGATGTTGTCAAACTGTTGGCGTGAGTGCTATGGTGGGCCCCTGCTGTGCCTAACTTGGCATACCCTCACTGCTTCTTAGTACACACCAACAAACAGCAATGCTCTCTCACACGCACGCACGCACGCACACACACACACACACACACACACACACACACACACACACACACAC